TAAGACAGGAAAGAGGATAAAGGTATCTCTGAGTAGGATACAGAGTTAATTACCAAGAGTGGATTCAACACGGGGCAGCTGAAATCTTCCTTGAGCAAATCACCGTGCCTTTATCTTAAAATGAAGTTCCCCATAGAAACCCAGACGTGAGCATTAGTTAACGTGAGGCCAACAGGCATACCTAGAACGAAGGAACTTCCACTTCGGTAAAACAATGAGATCTTTTTAACTGCCTTCAACTGGTAGATGAGACTCTGGTTTGTAACTGCTACCTTTCAGAAAATGGAAAAAGTCAGGCAGGGAAATCTTGCAAGTAAGACTGAAGAAGGTTTGTGAAATCCATTTGCTCACTCTGGTGAGTAGAAAAGGAAGAAATATTCCTAGCTTAAACTTTCCTCTTTTCAATGTCACAGATTTTCAAAACATTAAAGCCTGGCAAAGGAAAATATTCTTTTATACGGTGCAGAATTTCTCCTTGGGCTTGGCAGAGCAATTTTTTTTTTTTTTTTAAAGAAATTTATTTGGACAGTGCACAGAGGTCAAGTATTTGGCATTTGAATAATCTTAGAGTACGGGAAGCCTCAGAACCATGAGACAGTAAATCTGAATGATCATTAACTGTGGAAACTGGAATACTGAACATTTCCTGCCCTGTGAGGAAGAGATCGGTCATCTGCTTAGCCTCAACCTGTGTAAATTAAAAGTCAGCTATCTGATGGTGACAGCTCTCAACGCTTTGCAGCAGAGCCTATTTGCTCCGCTCAAGATGGAAATCTTGGCTGTCGCTCTCAAAGGGAAATACTGAACAGAGAGGACAGTGGATGTCATTCGTGTCCCTCAAAGATTTCGGTCAGGACACATCAATTGCCAGGTCAGCGTGACCACTGGATGTGGCTCTGAAGGGAAAAATCGCATCACCCCTCTGTGTTCTTATGTCCCATCTGACCGCTTCCTGCTCTCTGGCCTGTGGAGTCCTGATGGCAGAAAGGTTTTACATGTGATGATAGATGGCAAGCCACTGGGAAATCTTCTGCTCTGCTAGTGCTTTAGATAGACAGATACACTCAGCCTCTGTGGCTGCAGCTCTTTTACCAGTTCCAAATTCATTTTAAATAATAGAAAAATACGGGCTGCTTAAACCTGCACTGCTTTTTTTTTTTTTTTTTTTTTTTTTTTTTTTTTTTTTTTTTTTTTTTTTTTTTTCCTTTTTTCCCTTCCCTTCCTAGAGCTCCTTCTACGCTTTTTTGAGCCTTGTCAGTCCAAATGTCCATCAAGATGACAAGTGCCCCTGACCCTGCTTGCAACAAGGGAACAAGGGCAGTTTTCATGCAGAAATTCTCTGAGTGGCCCAAACTGATTTTGTTTTTACTGGCAAACGTGAGAGCAGCAGAGGTGTGGCTGGGCCCAGGCTCGCCTGGTGCTGAGGTCTGAGTGCTTTTCAGTCACTGGAGAGAGAGAGAGGTCTGTTAGCATCTGTCTGATGACAGGAAAAAAAAAAAAAAAAAAGGGATGAAAGCGAGACCAAGACTTCATTATTCTACCCTCAGTCTCTCACAGGCAGGAGTGCTGTGCTACACAGGCAGCTATCCCTGTCTGTGCAGACACTGCCACCAGCATGATGACTTACTTATCCATCCTCATCTTACAGGTTATATTGGTGCTTCAGTACTGCTCTGGATTTACTAATCCCTTTTTGTCAGCCTACGCGTAGCTCCACAGAAACCCCCGGACACCCCCTGACCCCGTGAAACCTCAACAAATCTAAAATTACTGGAGAGACCCTGTGTAAATCTCCCGGCTCTGAAGGAGAGATGGCACAAATGACCTTACTGGTTCAAGTTCTAAAACGTATACAAATAGGGTTGGGCAGCAAGTGTGTGCAACGAAGACTTTACACCCTGCTAGTTTTGCTGTTTTGCTCAATTTAGTGGGTGTTTTTCTGAAATGTATCAGAGTTCAGGTTTTGCTCAGATAATTGTCCTACATATTTGAACCCCGTGAGACCGAAAACCTTGGCCACGAGTCTCACGTGACTTTCTTATGAGATTTCCAGCTTTTCTGCTTCTGGTCTTGGCTTGAAGTACCATGAGAATATTTTTTTTTTTTTCATGGTATTTCAACACTTCAAGTTTCAAATTCTAGACTTTATTGAAAAAAAAAAAAAAAACAACGTAAAAAAGCTTTAAGGGGTGCGGTGGGCTTCTTATTTAAACTTATTTATTTAAAGTTATGTAAACTTATTTAAAGGGATAATGCTACAGATTTGCTGTCTGTGGGTGCTTTTGGAAATAAATAAGGGTTTGGGTCCAGGGATTTGATTTGAATTCTTCTCTAATTTTAACCTGTTTGGGACATTGTGTATCTTTCTTATGCAGCATTCATGTGGGAGAAGGAAATCACTCAGCTAACCAGCAAAGCTAGATGTTTCATTTCCCAAGTATAAGAGGAGGTAGACAGTGCCATTCCCTGTCCCACTGAACACAACAAAAGCTTGATGGGCTGAAAAACACCGTGCTTCCAAATTCAAGTGTCTTGTCAGTGGCTTCAGGACCACTGAGGGCTGAGTCAAGAACTGTTGGCTTCGTTTTCCCAATCACCACACCCTCGCTCGTGTGAAGGCTGCGAGAAGCGAGCCCCGTGCTTGGTGTGACACGTTAGCACCTGAAAACACCTATGAGGCACATACCTGAGGCAGCAAGTGCAAGGAAAATCTACCAGCACTTATGGGACTTGAAGCGGTCTTGGTTATTACACCAGAAAAAAAAAATGCCAACACTACCAGGTCTTTTACACCTTTCTTCTTTTCTAACATATCTCCATCAGGCTGGTGTCTGAGTCAATAGGAGTGAATCTGCCCAAACCCAGGATTCTTCCTTTTACAGATCTTGCTTTGGATCCTGCAAGATCTGAATTTGGGCACTTTGTCGTAGGTTTCCTAGGTGTACTGATAATTACTCAATATTTTTAATGTGCTGAGAACAAGGCCAAATGTAGGGTGGAAAATTAGCCGGCTTTTCTGCCTGTCTCTACACAAAACACAGGCTTAGGTCCATCTACTCTCTTCTTTCACTTTGAGCTCAACATTTATTTAGAGTGGCAATGCTTGGTTAGCATCCTGGCCGTGTATAGACGTGAAGTGCATTTACACCCTGACGCTGCTTTCTGCTTCCAGGAAAGCAACAGTATTGCACGAACTCCAAGGATCAGATTTTACCTTTGCAAATTGTCCCATCATGTTCTAGCTGAAAACATGTGTTTGCGGTAGGAAAGAAATCTCATTTAGGCATAAGCGAAAGACACAGAAGGCTGAAATTCTCCAGACCCTGGGGACTTAATACCGAATGAGAGATGAATCAACAATGATCCCTCATCAGTAATATCAGGGTGTCCTTTCAAGGCCCTACCCTGTAAAAGCTAGCATTATCTTAAGGCCTTTCCCTTTCCAAGCCAGTAGATATTTAGCACAGGAGCTGACATTGAGACATGAGTAAAGGCTTATGCGTTGTTTCAAGAAGCTGCATTCTTACTTGGCAGGCCCAGGAGGAGTTATGTCAAGAGCTGCTTATTTCTAATATTGTACAGAGAATTCCTCCCACTATTTCTTCCAGATGCTGAACAGCTCATTTATTTATTTATTTGGTTTAGCTATATTAAAATATAACATGCTTCCAAATGCTTTTCTCCCAAATTCCCAAAGGGGGGCCCTTTCTCATGGGGATGGACGTCCTTAAGTCATTTAACGTGCTTAACTCCCACTGCTCAGAATGAGGGTAAAGTTCCTGACTCCAGGGTACCCGGGATCTCATAGAAAGCTCAGAGCACTTGGTATGGAAGGAGTCGGAGAAGGAATGTAGCATAACACTGGGCAGGGAGACAGAAAAATGTCTGCAGCTTTTCCAGTGACTCTGGCACTGATCTGACTAACAAGCACCTGAGCAAGGAATTATTGAGTCTTTAAGCAGGTCTCTGCTGGACTCCGAACAAAAGAAGCAAATGGATGAGTAGCACTGACCTCCTCGAGCCTTATTTGCTGATGACTTACCTAGTTTTGAATTTTATTAGACCCGCATCAAAGCACAGAGACCTTCCAAACAAACCTGGGATGCATGCAGATTTTCATTTGGATTTGTCTGGAGATTTGGGAGGTTGATTGTACCAAAAGAAAAAAAACAATTCGGGGCTGGTCTCTGAAGCTAGGAGGAGGGCAGCCACTTGGATCAAGTTTCCCTTGGCAATGGAGATTACTGAAATCCACAGCACAAAGGGAAACTTAGAGCAACTCCAAGCAGGGCAAGAGCCAAGGGAGTGTTTTTGCCATGCCCTGTGAGCTGGAGCGACTGCCTTTCCGGAGAGGTGGAGGACAGGCAGCCTCAAGGGCAGTGCAGAAGACCAATTCCCCACCTGAACCAGCCCAGGAATGAGGAGCAATGAGGCTGCCCAGCTGAAGATGCAAACCCAAAGAGCTGCCTGTTGTCTCCAGCAAAGCGTGCAGGACTTCACCGAGCCAGGACCTGGACGTGAACGAAAGAGGCAAGACATGGCAGGAAAGCGTTCTTGTCCACAGTCCCTTAATGAAAAGTAAGCAGAGATCTGTAAACACTGTCCCAAGACCTGAGCCTCCCAACCTCAGCTCTGCAGGCTGTTGAATCGAGGTTTAGCTCTTCTGGGGAGCGGAATCACGAAATGGCTCTAAATGTGGAGCTGTCTGAAAGTATCCACGCTGAAATCAGCATGGGGTCGGCGCAGTTTGCTCTTTCTCCCCCGTTGCACCTAAATCAGAGCAGTAAGAACTTTGAAACAGGGGAATACAGTGAAAAATAAAGGTTTTAAATGTCAGGCAGGTCCCTCACGGAGGCCAGGCTCTAAGAAGACCGTAGGGTGCTCACCGTCCAATGAAGCCATTCACTGTCTTTAAGGGGCTTCATTCAGGCTACCAGCACTCAAAGACATCTCTCCTCAAAGCCTTTGGCCCTGTTTTACCATTCGTTTCACCCGGATCTTTTCAGCTGTTGTAGCATCTAATTCTACTTCCCAATAGAAAGAGCAACATCCCGTCAGCAGAGCCACCGGTTTGCTGGCCTGGGCTGCCAGGCACGTTCAGTCCTTTAGACATCCTCCCCATTCTCACCGAGGGAGATGGTGTGTATTTTAATGGTTGGCACTTTACAGTTTTCATGGACGAGGTTCCCCGAAGTGCCTGCGCAGCAGCATTCCTGGAGGAAACCTTTACTTTTTGCTTTGGCAGCAGTACAGTCTTTAGAAACGGCATTTTTTGCAGGCATGCTTTGCACGGCCGAGAATATCTTCCATTCGCAGACCCCATCCGACTTGGAAATCTTGTAGAAGGTTTCTCCGGAGCCAACGGGGATACGGACCACACCTCTGCTGCTCTCCATGCTTTGGCTGGTGGGATGGTTGAGGTTGAAACTTGGGGATTGTTTCTTCGCTGCTTGCTTCCTTGGGAGGCACTGAGCTCTCAGGACGTTCTGGAACGCTTTCTTAAACTCTTGACTTGAGCACGGATAGATGATGGGGTTGATGCAGCTGTTTAAATATCCAAGCCAAAATGTTATTTTAAAAAGTGTGTCCGGGGGTTTGATTGCAGGAAAGAAAGAACCTAAAATGGAAAATACACAGCTTGTTAAGGCAGAGTCAGTGAGAAATTGCAGGTAACCAAAGAAACTTAAACACTGGAAAAAAAATAAATAAAAGTCCGTTCTGTCTTGAAAAAAATTTATGACTCGAAGCCCAATTCCTGCAGGGACAAGTCTTTCGGAAGGTAGGGTGTTGTGTAATTACATGGATGTTCTATCAGAGATCAATTCAAGACATCTGCTCTATTACACAAGCATTGTATTCCCAGTTACAGGCAGTGAGGCAAGCAAGGGGGCTGGTATCGAGTGGGAGAGGAAAATTGCTTCCTCTGGGACTTCTAGCTCACGATCAGTTAGCCAAATACCAGTTATATCTAGGAGGTCATCAAAAGAGGTTTCAAATGACAAGCAAATGGCACCACTTCAGAAGTCAGAGTAAGGAAAAAGTAGGATTACTGAGTTGACTGCATTCCAGCTAGAAGTCATGAAAATTATGGAGTTATTTATATTGAAAATACAAAGTTATAGAGAGGGTACTCATTGTCCTTTGAAACCTGTAGATAAATCTAACAACTATCCACATTTTTCTGTCTCACAGAATGCACCTAAAATTCAGACAAGTTAAAGGAAAGGTTCCTTCTTAATGTTGATGAACACTGGAGAGGGTCTCGTGGGCAGCCATGATATCGATACTGATACAGGCTTGCAAGGTTTCCTCCCAGAGATGGTAGAGCAAGAACTCAGATGGCTCCTTTGTAAGGAACCGTCATTATTCAGCACATCAGTGACAGAGCCCTGGACTGTGCATTCGTTAGTCCTCACTGTCTTGGCACAACAACAGTCAAGTACAAGTGATCACGCAAACTGAAAATTAAATAGCGTTACTAATATCCTTTTTAAAAAAAAAAATTATTATATATGATAACATAGGATTTAATTACGATTTATCTGCTGATTTAAAATCTTGGGAACATTTTCCTAATGCCAAGCCTTTGTTTCTTTGTTTAACTACACCTTGAGCTCCTTATGGCTTGTATAAGCAAGTTTTTAACTTTAAATTATTTGAATAGCATGTCAATAAATGCTTAAGAGATTTACTCACAGAGAATGTTGTTATAAAGCTAGAGACATATTTAAGATATCGAAGATTCAACACTGCAGCTTAGAGAGAATTGTTTAGAAATTTGTTGCTTTTCTTGAATGATACTGGAACAAGATCCTAATTCCTCTTATTTGGTACTTCGCTTTGCTTAGAAATAAAACCAATATTGTCTGAATGTGAATGAACCAAAAAACGAAACTCTGCGAGATGCTGGGTTGGGAATAAGTGGTAACAGCACTTCTAAGATTAATTTTGCAAAATGAATCTAGAACCAGAGAAAGAGGAAAACATTTGCCATGTGTTGTCAGGGGGAAAGGCTGTTTCTTGCCTCATTTAAAAAAAAAAAAAAGAAGGGGGGGAAAATGTGGTTCTATCATACCAGTGTCAGTAATTAGTTTGGGCACAGGAAGAAAAATAATTTCCTGGAAAACATAATTGGCTTCTTTTGGACTTTATAGTAAAGTTTGTTACAAACAGAACTTTTAGCGCTGACAAACTTTTCTTCCTGTTCCCCCCTGGAAGAATCGTAAGCATGGACACGTTGAAAGAAATACTGTGGCAGATGTGTGGGCATCGATGCATGTGTCATCCTCTGCAGTTTAACTCTGTCTGTAAGCAGCTTTATAGGGATTGATCTGTTTGTTGGTCCTCCCCTGACTTAGGAACAGCTAATAATGCAATCAAAGGGTCTTCTAATTTAATTCTGAGAGCTGCCGAACTTCAGTTTGAATCTTTTACTTCCCATCTTCGACAGACAAAGCTACAGAAAGTGCAGCAAATGCTTTCAAGTGGCAAAAGCCCGAGAGGAATTCTCAGGGTGGTTTTGCCTGTGTGAGAATGTATCAAAATATTGCCCAAAGCAGAGACGCAAATAGTGCGGTGTGATTAATGACCTGCTCATTCTGCCGAACACGGGCTCGCCTGTGGAAGGCGAAGCAATGTCTTCGTGCTGTGGCACCAGCTCCTGCCCGCTGAGTGGAGCTGATGGGCCCGGAGGACCCGCTGCTGTCAGGGAAGGAATCGGTGATGCAGATGGGTGAGGAGCCTTCCTGGTGACTCTGACCTGGGAGAGGTCCCCAAGACCCTGGCCGTCGGGTGTGTGGGTGAAATGCTGGGGTTTCACCCCAACCCCAAATTCAGGCTGACATCTGGGTGATCCCCCAGCCCTTCCCAAAGGGGGTGAGTTTCCCTTTAGGCTCCCCCCCAGGGTGGGCGCCCTGGCAGACAGAGCCGTTGGGTAAAGGAGCCCCAGGGGTCCCGCAGTCAGTGACCCAAGGTCAGGTGTCCCACTGGGGATAACAGCGGGGACCCCTCGCAGGAGGGGCAGGGTCTGTCTGCGAGGGGGACGCCCTGGGCAGAGTTCCCTGCTGGGGAAGGACCTCCCGCCTCCCTGGGCTGGGCTCCAGGCAGGTCTGGCTTTTGTAAACGCGGGCTGTGTGAGATTCGGTCTGTGGCTTCCTCGGTCTGATGTGTTTGGCTTGTTGACTCAGTTGTCTCCCGTCCCTTCTCTGGGAGATGCATGTCACCATTTACTGCACCCATTGTTGGTCGTGCGGTGTCGCTGTTGGGGTCGGTGGGATTGATGTCGGTTATGTATCATCTGACTGACTTGTCTGTACCCCCAGCGCTCACCCATGGACTGACCCTTTTGTATCAAACACAATTTGGCGATTGGTTCATCTTTCTGCTGGCTGTGTCCCTTATGCTAGGCCTGATAACTGGCAAAACAGTGGTGGAGCAGCGGAGGAGCGAGACCGAGTCAGAAGACCCCAGGGCGGTGCAGAACGTGCCGCAGGAGCTCGCTCTTTGTGTTGGAGCAGCTGGACCTCTGATTCCAACCCCAGCCACAACCTGGGCACTGACCACAAATCTCACTGCCCCCGTGACTGCTTCTGCGTTGCCCCAAGCTGGCTAGGTAGAGCAGTTTCACTGTTACAACACCAACCAGTCTTTTTAAGACCAAAAATGTTGTGCTCAAGAAAGCAAACGCTGTTTTGCAGTTAAGCACGAGTGAGCAGGCGGATCCACGACCTAGAATTTTTTCTCAGCAAATTAATGCTGCTTTCCTTGAGTGAAAAACAACTAAATAACGTTCTCAAAGAACTTTCTGGCTGAAGTCATTGGCAGATGAAAAATAACGAAAGGCTTCTAAATGCCCAAATCATGCTCCATTTTTTTTTTTCTTTATTTCCTCATTTAATTGCAGCATATCTCCCGCTTTCCCATTTTGCGTCAAGACAAAAGGTGAAACAAATCTCAGTTTAGGGAATCAGCTGTGTGAGGCTGAGTGTAAAAACGGGTAAACAATAACAATTCCTGTTTGCTGCAACTTCTGGCTCGCTCTAAATGGAATGCTAGTGCCTTGCCAAAGTCTGTTAAAAATAGAAAATAGCCAGTGTCAGAGTCTGTCTCTTGCTCTTTTTTTTTTTTTTTTTTTGGGGGGGGCTGCATGCTAATTTATTAATGTAACCTTTTTTGGTTCATCAGTGTGGAGATTTGTTGCCTTGGAACAAGACACAGTGAAAAGAAAACGAAATAGCTCCAACAGCAACCAGGCTTTGCTATCTGTAGACCCCGTCACACTCCATCTTTAACACTTTCTTTCCAGTGATGGACACAACTCGGGCTTTAGGACAGTTGCTCTGCTCTGCCGTGCATTTGGCTGTGCTAGGCAGTGATGTTTCATGAGTTTAGGCCAGCTAAAATTCTGTCTCCAGGCTTTATGATAACTGTGTGTTGTCCTGTGAACGGAACAGTGCAAATGTCAATAGGAAGAAATACTCTAAGTAGCATCTTGAAAGGGCTGAGGGTGGAATTGGTAGTCAATGGACCCGATACGTAACAGAGTTAGAGGTAAAATCAAAGTAGAAATAATTTGGACTCTCTTCTTACTTACACTGACAGCTTATTCAACTTCCAGAGCAATATAAATCAAAATTTATAAACCTTGAGCTGCTGAATTATTGTGTAGGGTGAAAAAAACCCTATTCCTCCTTCTGCATCTTCTTTGTCTGATGAGCAAAACCCTTCTGTATGTTGCAGGACTGCTGTGAGGAACTATTGACACACCTGCATTTGCTTAGTGCCTCTGTGGAAGTGTGATGTACAAAGGGCCACGGGGAGCAACGCCCTGCTGTTGCAAACACCTGGTTACCTCTGCAGTTCAGAAGCTTTCCCTAATCTTCTCTCTTGGCTACCCAAGTGTCTGGCAAAAGGAGAAGACTATCACATTCTCCAAGGCCCTGAGGAATCATGTTCCTCCCCACAGAATACTAAGGATGTATTATTTTCCTCCAGGCCTTTATTATTCGGCGGTGTTGCTGTCACGATTCAAACCAGTGGCTGATGTGTCTGGTAGCAAGCAGGAGACATTTTCAACCGGTGCTGCTAAGGCTGGTGATAAAGTGTTTTGTTGTGTGCTGAGACATCGAAATGGGCAGCAGCTGGCAGCTCAAGTCAGACGAGTTTGAAGTAGAAATAAAATATAGGCTCTGTGGGGTTTTTTAAAACAATGATTGTAATTAACCACGAGATTAAACAAAGGAGTGGTGAATTCTCTCTTCTTTAAGATACACAGCGTGAAGCTGTTTCCTACAAAGCAGCGGGGCAGCGCAGGGAAACCAGGAGGATCTGGGGAGAGCGGTTCAGAGTCCGTATCTACTCAATCCTTGACCACGCGGTGTCAGCTCGCGTTTGGACACTTGCCTGCTAGCAGCCGGGACTGAGAAAACTGAATTATTATAGCACCTAGTTCTCCAGAACAAGCTTTTCTGATTCTCTCATTTTAGGCTAGGTGTAATCATAATTAATAAAGCACTGCCACCCCAGTGTCCTCTAACAGAGGTGGGTAGGGAGCACCAGTTGAGAAGTGGAAAGTTTTCTTTCCTAAAATTAATTTTCTGTTCTATTCAGATGCCTTAA